CAAATTGAGGAAGAAAAGTAGATTTGCTACAAAGAGAAGAGGGACTGTTCTTTTGCTGTATCAGTGGACAGTGGTTTGCAGCCCTGAGGATGGAGCTGTGCTCACTGCTGTCATGGGCAGGGCAGTGCCCCTCACATGCTTGTTCCTTCTCTGGTTCAGATCTCGGTCCTGAAGCCTCACTGCAGCAGTCTGCTGGTGGAAACTTTACTGCCCATGATCAATGGTAAAGTGACTGGGATGGCTGTAACGTTGGGAGTTCTGAGGAAGGAGGGAAGAGGGACTTGTGTTTGTGTTTGGAAGCTGTAGCAGGACAGCTGAAGCCATTAAAACTCTGCAATCTCCATTCTGAAGCTGTAGTTAAAAGTCCCAACCTTAGCCTTGCACCATCCCACCCTATGATCTGTGCTAGCAACAGGCAGTGTTGAAGAACAGAAGGAAAGCCAAGGGCATGGTGCCTGATCCTGCTGTGGTTGGTGGCTCTGAGCAGTTCTGTCGTGGGGTGTAAGCTGGGTCACCCCTTGGCAGCTCCTAAGGACCTGTCTGTCCCCTACAGGTGCCCTGAGCATCGGAATCCCACTGCCAAATGTGCTGGGCATTCCCTTGATAAAGGTGGACGTTCAGATATTAACGGTGAGTGTTTGGATGGGCTGTTCCCTCCTATAAGGCACGTGCACAGGTCATTGGGGCTGTTCACAGGACTCTGCCAGTGCTGGTTGTGAGTGTAAGAGCTGTAGATTTTAATCCCTGAAAGGCCAAAAGGAGCTGTTCTGTCTGACCTCCCTCAGATCGGGGAATGCTGCCCAAGGATGTGATGCCCACACATGGTATGGAACCAGGTGTGTCATGAGCAGTGCTCAGGCCCTGGGGCAGGTCCCAGTTCCCCATCCAGTTCTCCTTTTCTTTCTGGAGAGCTCAGTGTAAGCAGCTCTGGCATGGATCCAGGGAGCTGGGCAAGTCTTTTCCAGTGGCACCATTTAAAGTGTCTTGAATTGCACCCTGGAGGTGTCCCAAAGCAGCTGGGATATCCTCCAACACTTACCGAGGGGTTCTGTGCCCTTATTACTAACTGGACATGAGGATTTTTGCAGGGGGTTTTTCTGTTTACTGTGTGCTGTGAACCAGCATCCATCAAAGTTGGGAGATAACATGGATGTGGCTCTCTCTGCTTCCCTTCAGGGCCTGATTGTGCTTCTGGTGTGAGCTGGGGAGCACAAGGTATGGAGGAGGCTGAGGGGGCAGAGAGAGGAAGAGACCAGCCAGGATGGAACACCAGGACCACCATCATCTGCTTTTCTTTCCTGAACTTGATTCAAGATTCCTGATCATATTTAAGACACTTAAAAGTGAATTTGTTTGTGTGAGTGTGGTGAAGCTTGTGTAAGCCAAAGCCGATCAGCAGCTCTGTGTACAAATATTTATTTAGAGAAGTTGGTGTGGTTTTGGGGTCACAGTCACAGCAGTTGCATGTGATGCTGTGGTGGAATTGGGAAATTTGTTCTGAGGGAAAACTCTTCCTGATAGAATGAAAAAGTGACTTGTTACATATAGCTTCCAAAGTGAATGTCCCTCTCCGGGTTTGGGAGGGAGCTCAAAGTACATTTGTCATGTCACTCTTTAATAAACATTCCTACTTTTTTAGTGCTTGGAATGAGGTTCTGGTTTCTGATGCTTCTCAGAGAGAGCTTCTGTTCTGTCCCCACTCTGGGATGTGTTTCCTTTGTGGCAGCTCATGTTTTGGGTTTGAAAACTCTTCTCACTTGAACTTCCTGAGAAAAAAAATAAACTTGGATTTTCAGTGGCTCCTCTTGGCCTGGTAACCTACTGACCAAATGCTAATCCACAAGCAAGAAATGAGAATGAAATTGAATTTCCAAAGGACATGAAGCATTTTATAACAGAATCTGAAGGGAAAACTTCATTACCAGGGAACTGAGAGATCTGATAGCCCTGGAGCACTCCCATCTGCCTGCCAGAGCCACAGCTGATGTCACAGTCCATCGAGGGGACAGAAACAAATATTCTGGCATTTTGGATCTCAGAAAAACAAATTATTCTGGGTACAAAAACCCTATAAATATGAGGTTTAAAGTGGCCTCTCCAACACCTGTTTTGCCCAGTGCTGGATGTTATGAGTGTGTTCTTTGCTTCTGGTGTGCCCAGAGGTAGTGGCAGAACTGCACTGCTGCAGCACAGGTCTGGCACTGACCGAGTGAGGGATGGGGCAATATTCCACTCTGCATTTCTGCCTGAAGGTAGGAATAGTTCAGTATCTGCCAGGCCAAAGCCTGTGGCTGCTGCATTAATTTCCAAGCATCACTGTGAGATGCTGCAGAGGAATCACTGAACACTGGGACCTGTTGGTGGTTCCAGTTCATGTGAACTGCCCAGTGCTGTCCCGAGCTGTGCCAAACACAAACTTGGTGTCACACATGGTTGCTGTATGGGCTGGCCTGCCTTGTGTCACAGCAGAAGGGGTTGGGGTGGGTTGAAGTCTACAGTAATGCTGACAACAGGTCTTTAGGTGAGTTTGAATGGCTCCTTTGGTTCCCAGTCTGGTGCAGGCTGATGTTGCCAGTGGGACTGTGGTCTCCAAAGGCTGTTCACCTGCTGCTGACACAGACCTTGCCCTGTCCCTGGACAGAAATGATGCTGCTGTGTGGTGATGGGGCTTCACACTGAGCAGAGGGCTGTGGTCAGCCCCAGCACCAGCTGAACCCCATGGTCAGGGGTGTCTGCAGAGCGAGGAGTGAACAAGAGTGAATGCTGTGGAGCATTGGGCTGTGCTCAGGAGCACAGAGCTTAGATTCCATTGCTTATGTTCCCTGGTACCAGAATGCCCACAGAGCTGGGCTGAGCAGAGTTTGGGGGTCTCTGTGACCCTGTTACCCGGAGGGCAGGACGAGAAGCCCCAGCCACCTGCATTGGCAGCTGCTTTGTGCCACTTTAGGGTTTCAGCACTTCTGGGGCTTGGCGCCTCCATCCATCCTTTCTGCCCACAGGTTGGCAGAACATGCTGTATTTGCACAAGGTTTTGTTCTGGTTCCTGAGCAAACACCTTCTGGACAATAAGTAAAGTTTAGCCCCTCTTTTCACCCTCGTTTGACCATCACTTCTGTGTGCATTCTGCTCTTCTGTGGGGGATTCATTTTGCTGGCAAGTTACAGAGCACTCTGTGGTCTCTCATTGTCCCAGGGCTCTGCTTGACTTAAGAAAGAAAAGACAGTGGGAAGCATGTGATGAGAACTCACTGCATGGAGCCAGGGCAGGGCTGTGAGCCCAGGGTTGCAGAAAAGTGAGAAAGTCATCTCATACCCCTGGAAATGGCTTTTCCTCCTGGGGTCTGGGCTCCATCATACTGTTCATCACATGAGGCTGAGCGGGAAGGAGCCGAGGAACCTTTTCCAAGGGAAGGGACAGATCCTTCTCAGTGTAACTCATTACTTCTGCAACTTGTACATTTAATGCTCTGAATTTCTGGTGGGCTCAGGAGTATATCCAGAGCAGGAAACTGCGATCGAGAATCCATAAGAGCTTAGACAATCCTGTCTAGGAAAGTTTCCTTAACACTGGCACCCTGACAGGCTGGAAAATCTTTTGCTGGGTGAGGAGCAGGAGGGGTTGCAAGGGGCTAGCTGTGCTGCTGGCTGTGTGTGGGACTTGCTCCAGGAATGTCCCTGGCAAGTCTTCATCCCTCTGCTGCTCTGTGAGGGCTGGAGAAGGAGCTTGTCCCTGCTGCTCCAGCATTTGAACCATCCGTCTGGTGTGTCCTGCTCCATGTGCCACTGGTGAGGGAAACCAAGTGTCACCGGGCAGCTCTTCCCACCAGACTGCCCAGGAAAGTGATGGATTTTGTGTATGCCAAAGGTGCTAATACACTTTTTTCAGCATTCCTTTTCCCAGGTTAACCCAAAGTGGCAGCTGGGGACAGCACTGACCATCTGTTGCAGGCCCAGCTGTGCTGGGGTGCTCAGTAAATGAGGTGACTGAACGGAGAAGCAGAAGATCCCTCATTCTCCAGCATGAGCCAGCTCTGCTCCAAGCCTGCAGCTGCTCCCAGGTGGGATGTGGGGCTGGGGGTTGGGGGGTGCAGCTGATGAGACCCCAGGCCTGTGCTGGAGAGACAGAGCCATGCAGTGAAGCCTCGAGGCAGAATATCTCCTGACAAAGAAATATGATTTTTTACTACTGTAGCTTATGCCTTTTGGGAAACTGGTTTAAGATATATTAATCAAAGAATAATGGTTGCAGCCCTACCAGGAAACTTTTATTAGGAGCAGTTCCCTCTATGGCCAACTTTGGGCAGTAACATCATTAGTCAGGTCCCCATGCTGGGCATATAAACCTTCAGGGCTCTTTAGTCCTTCTAGTAAATCAATCTGTGTTGTTTTCTTTGCTTTCTTATTTCTGAGTCTCTGACATATGAGGTTTTGGAGTGTTTTGCAACAGCTTCAGAGGCTAGAAATGATGAGTATAGCTGTGGCAAGTGAAAGCAGATGTAGATGCCATTAATATGGTTTCATGGCTGGGGTGTTATCATAGGAGAGCTGAGGTGGGAGCTGCATGGTCAGAGATAAGGATGTTCCTCCTGGGCTGCACAGTCAGGGATGAGAATGCTCCTTCTGGGCATCAGCACAGCCATGTACTTGCCCTGGCTGGGGTAGCTGCCAGCAGCACCCACTGTTTGAACAACAGGGGTGGCTTCTGGAAGCTCTGTTACAACCCACCCTTCCCTTTCGGATGCTTATGTCTGTTGTGGGTATTTTCTCCCCTTTAATTTCCTGAGATGTGTTCAGTCAGTAGGAAAGAGCATCCCAAAGCCAACAATCATGGGGCTGGTGCAGTGTGATGCCTGCAGTCACCTCTTATTCAGTGTTTCCTCTGTGATGAGCTTTCTCAGAAGCAAAGTGTTGAAAATATAACTGCCTTCAAGCCTAAAATTAGAAACCATTCTGCAGACTGATTTCCCTCCCTCCCCCCCTTCCTTCTGACCTAGGAAACCCACCAGCCACAATGTTCCCATAGTAACATGAGACATGGAGGAAAAGCAGATGAAAGATCTCTCATATGGACCATGTTGTTCTGCAGCTGAGAGGCACAAGTCTGCTTTACTTTCTTGTAAATAAGTGGAATTTTGATGCTCCCTTAATTAAATGTAAGGTCTGGACATCCATACTGGTTCCAGTTCTTAGCAAGGCAAAATTCATCTGTCTATAGGTACAAATTCTTGAGGGGGAAAAATGTCAATAGTCCCACCAGAAAATGCAGAATTAAAGAGAAATGTTTAATTAAAGCATGGAACATTGTTACAATCCATCCTCTGTGCAACAAAAATACCAGGAGCAGGGCTGGAAGAGAAAGGTGCTAGTGCAATGCTGTTACTGTCCAGAATATAAGACCATGATGTTTTAGTAAGGCAAGAAAAAAGATTTTCAACATTTCAAGTAGTGGCAAGCCACGGAGTTTGATGTGAGAGTCAACAGAACAATTTTGCCACTGTTTTACTCCAGACACCAGACTTCAGCCCAGGATGGTTGCCTTGCCAGTTCTTGCCTCCAGTTGGAGGTTGCAGGGAATCAAGACATAATCCTGAGCAGGGGAAGAAGGAGGGCTGAGCACAGTGCCTGTGCAGCTCTGTCAGCCTGCACAGAGCTCACCACCCCCTACAGCCCCTCTGACACAGCCACTGCTCCTGTCCATGGGGCTAGAGAGGGGCTGGGCCTATTTAAAGCAGTGGAATTTGGTTCTGCAGGTTGCCTGGACTGGGGGAGCAGGCTCTGATTTATTCCAGAGCAGGGAGGTTAGCATTGCACCCATGCTCATTTTATATCAAACACAGCAGGGAGCAATCTAAATGTCTTATTTCTTACCTTGTGGATTGTGATGTTGACATTGGTGTAAGTGAAACTGGCAATGTGGGGCAGGAAAACACCTTCTCTCAGGATCACTAGGAAAAGAAAGATGGAAAGTTGACAGCTGAGTGCTGCCTGGGTCTGCATTGAGCATCACACATGGCAGCACCTACAGAGCTCCCAGCGTCTCACCGTTCAAATGGGCTGGCACCTCCTCACGGATCGTGGGCAAGAATAACTCCTCCAGCAAGGCAGCCTGCAGGGAAAAGCCAAGGTCAGCTCATGGTGTGGGGCTAAAGCAGGAGGAGAGGGGCAGAGGCCCATGAGAGAGGGTGCCCACTGCACCTCTCCCCATCCCACAAGGACCTGACTCTCCCTTTCCCCAGGTGCTGTGAGCACCCAAAGCCAGTATTTCCACATTTCCCTGCTAGCACCTGCTGCCCAGGGTGGCTGGGGGGGACCAGGCTGCCAGAGAACGGTGTGGGGAGGGGCTGCAACTGGGGGCACCTACCAGTACAGGACCCACGTCGGAGGTGGCCAGGCTGAGCTCAATATCCCTGGAAAACAAAGAGCAGCACAGGAGCTGTTGATGATAACCCATAATAAGCAGTGGCTTCTCTGCTTCCCCAAGCCCCCTAGCTGGGTTTGGGGCCAATGCCAGGGAGTGGAAGGTACAATTCCCACTTTTCTCCCTAACCACATTACTGGAGTCTCAGTTTCCCTGGGGAAGGAGCTACCTCTGCAGTGCCCAAGTCCTAAAAGCTAAGAACCTCCCCGGACTGCTTTGCCTCTCCTTTCCCTGCTGTGACTGGGATGTGTCCCGTTCAAGCACATGGAGAACATGTGGGTTCATTACTCTATTGCTGCTGCTGAGATTATCATCCTCGTGTCAGTGACGCTGAGGTGGAGCCTTGCAGACACATCCTGTGAGGGGAACAGACAACAGGATCAGTGAGGAAACAGCCCCACTTCAGCTTTGAATAGTGGGGTGTGATGAACCCATCAGTGTGCTGCCACCTGTGATGTGCTCTCCATGCCCTGCGTAATGCCATGTGGGCAAACACTGTTGGGGACCAGGAGCACTGTGATGGGGAAAGGCTAAATCAGCCCCCGTGGTGGCTGCAGTAGGACCAGGGCTTGGAGCAAAGGGCACATGGGCAGCACAGGTATGCTTGGCAGCACATGCTTCCCAAGCTTGGCATGCTTGCAGCACACACTCACCACGTTCACACTCAGGAACCTCTGGAAAACAGATGATCTCGCTCCAATCTGGGCAGTGAGGAAGAGCTTCAGGATTGCTTCGCCTTCCTCCAGCACCACGTGGGGTGAACTCCGGGTCACAGCTTCCAGCACCACTGGAAGGTCCTCCTGGAAGAGGAAGCCCATCTGCCACGGGAGTGGGGTTATTCCTGGGCAGAGCAGCCATCCCCATGTCCCTGGGGTGGTGGGTGGGCAGCTGCAGGGGCACTGCCCAAGCTGGGACCATGTCTCTCAGGGTGTCAATGACAGCAACGCACCTGAGTGATCTTCTGTGCCAAGGTGGCAGTGGTCAGTGGGCTCTGGAAGACAAAGCTCATGGTCAGACTCATATCTATGTGGAGCTGCTGCTCCAGGGCTCGTGTATGCACAGGAGCCCTCCTCATGCCAGGAGCAGCCTACAGGTTACTCCTTATGGCAAACTCTCTCTGTCCCATTAGACCAGTAATATTTTGGGGAGCTTGTGGGTGAGGAGTTGTAACTTCTGTGAGTGCTCAGACACTCATTTCTGTGTGGGGCATGTGGCTCCTCCAAGTCTCCCAGGGCAGGGCTGTCCCTCCAAGTGTATATCTCCTGCTCTTTCTTTCTTTGCTTGCTCCACTCACCAGGATGGTCATGTTGAAGGCTCCAGCCGTTTCCAGGGCGAAGAAGAGGCTGGTATAGAAGTGCTCAGAGAAAGCTAGGATGAGGTGTGAAGGGCTGGAGCTTGCTGGCTCAGGCATGCTGAAGGGCACAGGGCTGACTGGCAGAGGGATTGCTGTCCCTGCCACCTGGAAAGTTGTCTGCAGGGACAAAGGAAAGGAGGAAAGGAGTTTGCGGTGTCTCGGGGCATGTAGCACTGGGAGGAAGTGGCTCTCCCAAGGACTGGAGCTGGGATGTGAGAGCTAGAAAGTGAGACTTACTTGCAAGGAGATGATGATTCCCTGCTCGGAGTACATGGGGGCAGCCAGGGGCAGGTACTGGACCTGGCAGCTTGGTGTGATGGGGAATGGAGCTGCAAATGGAGCAGAGGGGTGCTCAGGAAGAGGAGGGGAGCAGTGACAAGGGGTTGGCTCTGGGAAGTTTCTGGGTTTCCTGAGTAAAGAGATGAGGAAAGATCTGGGCAGAGGAAGCAGGTCCCTGGGGACATGGTGGAGGCAAAACCTCTGCTGCTGCAGGGTGGGAGCCTGTCCAAAGCCCTCACAATAATGATACTGAAAGCTGAGTGCTCACCTGCCAGAGACATCAGCCTTTCGTTTGGAAAAAGCAGCAATTTGGAGACTTCCAGGCAAATCTATGGGATAAAGAATAAAAAGAGAGGTGGTAGATGAACGTGGAGGTCTGCCAACATCATGCATCCCAAATGCCTCTGAGGTGGGTGTCCCCAGTGGTTGACAGTCAGGAGCCAGGGGACAATAGTGACCACAGAGATATGGGGGAGACCTGGCAAAGGCCCAGGTTGACTTAAAGTGCTCTAATTCTTACAGAACTCTACAATGCTTGTCTTGTGCCTTTACAAACTTAATCTTACCTTATCAACATTGATCTCCTTGTCCACACTTGATCCTGAGGACTTGCTGGATGAAAACAACAGAAAAGTCAGGCAAGAACCAGTTCTGCTGAGGGTGGGTGAGTGTCTTTTATCTGCCCCAAAAGGCATCCAAAGACAGAACGACCATTATTTTCTATCATCTATTAAGCTATGTTTACGATTCAGAATCTAAAACCACTGGAGAATTGCTGCTGGGCTTGC